GGCTCTGATGACCCTTCGTCCTCCCTCCAGGCAGCTCTCTGGGAACAACTGTAGTTGTGAGTCCAGTGGAGGGAGCCTTTACCTACCCTTCCAGAGGCAGGTTGGAGCCATTGACTTCACCAAGGCCTTTGACCCTGAGGAGCTGAGGGCTGCCTCAGCCTCCAGGGAGCTAGAGTTCCAGGCCTTCCTTTCCAGGTACCATCTTGAAAGGAGGGCGTGTCTTTGCAGGGGGAGGCCCGGAGGGTGGGTGTGACTGGAAGGAGAGCTCCTCTGCCCCTGATTCCTGCACTGTCCTCCCTTGCCAGGAGCCAGTCTGCTGCGGACCAGCTGCTCATAGCCCCTGCCAACTCCCCTCTTCAGTACCCCCTGCAAGGTGTGGAAGTCCAGCCCCTCCGGAGCATCTTGGTGCCAGGTGGGGAGAACGGGCCTAGGAGATGACCTAAGCCACCGTGGGGGTGGCAGAGCTCAAGGTTGGCTGAGGAAGAATGAAGGAAGATTGGAAAGGGAAGTGGGGGACTTCTGATGAAAGGGGGACTTGGGATCAGAAGGGGGCTCATGAGGTGGGAGGTGAGGACAGAAGGGCCTCTAGGGTTGTCAGGAATCGCAGAAGCCTGTCACTGGAGAGGTTTGGGGAAACAAATCTCTTCTTTGCTGACTGACCAAAGATCAGGTGGCTAGGTGGGGCAGGCCATAAAGAGCTACTGCTTTGATGGGAAGGAGTAAAAAATCAGTTACTCTAGGCTGCGACCCACATGTGCCCTGCCGTGGCCTCAACAAAGAGGGATGGGTGAGAAGGTCCATGCTGTGTGTGGTGAAAGAGAGAAGAGAAAGGGAAGAAGAATTCAAGGCTGTCTGTGATTCTGACTCCCTCTCCTTCCTCCCAGGGCTGAGCCTGCAGGCAGCTTCTGGTCAGGAGCTTTACCAGGTAAGTGGAAATGAGGCTGGGAAGTCCAGGTGGATGCTGGAGGGAGACCCCGGCTGCCAAAGGAGGGATGGAGGAACCAGGGAGGCAAGAGGCGGGTCCGAGGTCTCACCCTGTACTCTCCAACCCCTCTCCCAGGTGAACCTGACCGCCTCCTTAGGCACCTGGGATGTGGCAGGGGAAGTGACTGGAGTGACTCTCACTGGAGAGGGGCAGCCAGATCTCACCCTCACCAGCCCAGGGCTCGACCAACTCAACCGGCAGCTTCAACTGGTCACTTATAGCAGCCGAAGCTACCAGGCAAACACAGCAGACACAGGTGGGAGGCCTGGGCAGAGGCAGGGGCAGGCTGGTTAAACAGAGAGCCCAGAAAGGCTGGAGCGGGCAAATGGCAGAGGGTGTGGGAGACACTCGGGCAATGGCCAGAGCTACCCAGTCACACAATGGGCATTTCAGCTAGGCCAGCAGGACCAGGGAGGGAGAGAAGGGGCCTTTGTTCATCTGGGGCCAGAGCAGGCCAAAGGGAAACCCGAGCTTTGGGTGTGTCCCCCCTGCAGGCCAACTGTGAGGGCCCCAGGAAGTGACCTGCCCCAGGAGCCAGAAGACTTGAGCTCTATTCCCAACCCACCACTTACTGGAGGGCAAGGGACTTTATCTCCCAGAGCTCCCATTTCTCCTCTAGCAAACGAGGCAAAACACAACCCTCCTGCTTCGCTCCAAGACTTGCCACACCAAACCCGCTCCCACTTTGGGGCCCTTGCGCTTGCTGTTCCCTCTGCCTAGAATGCTCTTCCCCCAGATTTTTGCATGGCTGGATCCTTCTTGTCATTTGGATCTCAGCTCAAATGTCTCCTTTTCACTATCACATTACTTGTTTTATTTTCTCTTCAATGCTCACCAGTATCTGAATTTTATTTATTTAGCCTGGAACCAGACTGACTAGGTTCCTATCTCAGTTTTGTTGCTTAAGAGTTGTGTAAATAGAGACAAGTTACTTAACTTCTCTATGCCTTTTTCTGTAGTAGGAATCTACTTAATAGGGCTTGTGAAGATTAAATGAGTTCCTATATTTAAGGTAACTTAAAAAGTACCTGCCCATAGTAAATGCTCAATAAATGTTAGCTTTTCATTAAATCTCTTTTTTAGTATATGTGCTGCCGAAGCGAGCACTAAATCTCTTTTTTAAATTAAATCTTTTATTTTCTTTTCCCACCCATTAGAATGTTAGTGCCATGGAGGTAAAAACCTCGCATTCTTGTCCACCAGGCCCAGGAGGAGTATGCACTTAAATACTGATTTACTGAAAAGGGAATGTTATCCCAGCCCTAAGGACCATGACTTGTGTCCTTTCTTCCCAGTCCGGTTCTCCACGGAGGGACATGAGGCTGCTTTTACCATCCGAATAAGACACCCCCCCAACCCTCGGCTGTACCCATCTGGGTCTCTACCCCAGGGAGGTGAGGCTGGTACGCGCTAGGACCTAAATCCAGGTCTGGTGGGGAGAAGCTGGAAGAGGGAGGCCCTAGGAGAAGACGTCTTCCTGCTCCTCACTTCCCACTCTCGTTCTCTGCACCTAACCCTCTCCCTCACTCCCAGCCCAGTACAACATCAGCGCCCTGGTCACCATCGCTACTAAGACCTTCCTGCGTTACAATCGGCTACGGACACTCATCGCCAGCATCCGCCGCTTCTACCCAACGGTCACCGTGGTCATCGCCGACGACAGCGACAAGCCAGAGAGCATTAGCGGCCCCCACATCGAGCACTATCTCATGCCTTTTGGCAAGGTGCGCAGCCAGCGAGGCTGAACCGCGCGCCATAGGGCGCGCCCTCAGTCTGAAGTCTCCAGAGTAGTGATCCCAGGACTACCTACCTGTAATTTCAGAATTACCGGGGTGCCTGTTAGGCATGGCAGTTCCTGGAACGTAAGCTCCGTGGGACAGAAATCGTGCCTATCTTATTCGTACTGCATTCTTAGAATGTGCTGAGCACCTAGGGAGCGCTCAATAAATAGGTGAATGAATGAATGGGTGCACGCATGAGTTAAACGCGTTCTAACACCTCCCGGAACACTGACTCAGAACGCCTGGCAGTGGGAAACTGCACTTTTTACCTCGCTCTGAGCCATTCGTGGGCACTGGACCGTTTAGAGGCGTCAGGAGAGAGGATGAAAGGTGGCAGAGGGGTTGCGTCCTATCTCTACAGACTCACTAACCATGTACACCCTTCCCCCAGGGCTGGTTCGCAGGCCGGAACTTGGCCGTATCCCAAGTAACCACCAAGTACGTCCTGTGGGTGGACGACGACTTCGTCTTCACGGCGCGGACGCGGCTGGAGAGGCTTGTGGACGTGCTGGAGCGGACGCCGCTGGACCTGGTAGGGGAGGGCCCGCAGGATGTGGGGTGGGAGGAGGTGGGCCCGCAGGACGTGCGGTGGGAGGAGGAGGGCCTCCAGCAGGCTGAGGCAGCGGCGGGGGAGACCCGGGCGAGGGCGGACGGCCCTGCGCCGGACAGGGGACGACGCGGCGGAGCCTGGGGGACAGTCCGGGTCCTGCAGGGGTGGAGCAGAGGAGGACGGGGCAGGGGAACGGCCCCGGGGAGCGGGCACAGATCTGGCCCCCACCCCCCGACACTCCCCGTCCCGCCTGGAGCCGTCCTCCCACTCCCCGCAGGTCGGCGGCGCTGTGCGCGAGATCTCCGGCTTCGCCACCACCTACCGGCAAATGCTGAGCGTGGAGCCCGGCGCGCCGGGCCGCGGGAACTGCCTCCGGCAAAGGCGCGGCTTCCACCACGAGCTCGTCGGCTTTCCAGGCTGCGTGGTCACGGACGGCGTGGTCAACTTCTTCCTGGCGCGCACCGACAAGGTGCGCGAGGTCGGTTTCGACCCACGCCTCAGCCGCGTGGCGCATCTCGGTGAGTGGCGCCCCCTCCCGGTCCGGCCCGGACCAGCAGGGACCCCGGGGTGGCGGGGTGGGGGGCGGCGCGCTGGGCGAGGCTCCAAAGGTACCGCTACTCCTACGCCCACCCCCCACCTCCTCCCGTGGAGCCCACGGCTGGCACCCAGGACCCCTGTGGGCAGTTCTGCGAAGATTTACCAAGATCTGCGCCCTGGCAAGAGACAGAGCTCCCACCCTCCCGGCCCGTACACCATTTAAACCTCCACGCCCAGCACAGCCACTGGGTCCACCTTTAACTGCCCCACCACTGTCCCCGCCCCCTTTACTCCACTCCTAGCCGCTTCCCCTGGTTCAGACCACACTCCTGGAGCAGCCCATTCAGTATCTATTGAACCTTTAGGTGTGTGTTGGGGAGGTGGGGAGGAGGGTACCTTATCAAAGCACAAGGTAGGTACGTTGACTCTATTTTACAGAAGAGCCCCCAAAATTAATTACTAGCCCAAGGCCCTCAGAAACGGGGTCCTTGCCTGTGCACCCTCCACACCCCAAATCTCAGTTCTCCCTTAAGGGTTGGCCTTCTATAAGCTTCAGACCTTTCACTGTGTACTCCCTTACCCCCCCCTCCCCCAGAATTCTTCCTGGATGGGCTTGGTTCCCTTCGAGTGGGCTCCTGCTCAGACGTCGTTGTGGATCATGCATCTAAGCTGAAGCTGCCTTGGACATCAAGGGATGTGGGGGCAGAGACTTACGCCCGGTACCGTTACCCAGGATCACTGGATGAAAGTCAGGTGGCCAAACATCGCCTACTCTTCTTCAAACACCGGCTGCAGTGCATGACCTCGGAATGATGGCCACGAGGGGCCTTCAAACTGTCAGGCTGGGCCTGCCTCCTTTTCCCTGCCAGGAATTTCTAGAAAATCCCAGGAATTTCTAGCCAACCCCACCACCCGGTGACCACTCCACTGACTGTCCCTGATCCCCTTCAGAATCTGATCCCAAATAGGGGCTTGTCCTGGTGACACTCCTCCTTTCTGCGAGTGCCCAGGGTTAGGTACGTGATGGAGCCATAACTCATCCCACAGCCAGTGCCAAGTCCTCCCCCTGCCTCCTTCTCATGGGGCAGGAAGTGGGGGGGGGGGTCAACTTTCCAAGTGCCAAAGAGCCCATGGGGACTCTAAGAACCTAAAGTGGAAATACTCTCCTCTCATCTCCTTGGGACTGAGGGGGTGGGGAAGCCCCCCCACGTGTGTTCCCAGGGCTGTGCCCCTCTCCCTCATCTCTGGACCCAGGACTCTGTGCATAGGCTCCAGCCCCAACCCCCTCCTCCACCCCATGGAGAGAACTGGTGACTCTGGAGCTGGGGTGAGGGCTGGTGAACACACAAGTGAAAGCCATTTTTAGTTGTGTCTGCAGTGCTGTGGGCATGGAGAAAGGGGCACCAGGGCTCAGTGTGCGGACACCCAGGCTCACTTCATGAACCCCAGAGGCTCTCAGCTTTATTTTATTAGTTACATGAAGTAAGGGGACTCCACACACACATATTGCTGGGGCCCTCCACACTCCAGATGACTGGGTCAGACCCACACTGTGCAAGTCTTTGGACCAGTAGGCTCCTGGAAAAGAGAGGGGAACGTGTCAGGGACAGCTTAAGTACCGTGCTCCCTCACTCAGCATTTGGCAGCCCTCTGAGGGGCACACCACCCCACTTTGAAATCTTAGCTCCTCAGTTCTTCATGCAGAGCTGGGCCCCATCTCCCTGGCTTCGCCTTAAATTGACTCATCATTTCATCCCCCCTCCCTCCTCTAGGTTCCTTCTCAGTCCCCTGCCCAAAACCCTCGGCCTAGGTCCTCAGCCACTGACTCACATGTGACCTGCTATAGCCCAGCACCTCTTGGATTTCACTCCTGTTGCTATTGCCCCCTCACCAGTCTCTCCAGGGCATGAGCAGCTGCATCCTGGACACTAACAAACAGCTGTTCTGGGGTCACTCTGTCCAGGAGTCCTGCCTGGGTCAGTGTCCCCAGCACTGAGGCTGTGTAGAGAGGCGGGTGAGGTTCTTAGCTCTTAAATCCACACCGTGTCCTTTTCCCTCCCCCAAGTGTCCGGTCATTCCCCAGGCTCCAGGTCCCTCCAGCCTCCACACCTCTCACCATTACACTGAGCCAGGAGAAGGTGGATCCCAGCATCTCGGCATCGGCTGGCCAGCTGTGGAGATGGGGCAGGGGGTCAAATCCTACATCAGAGGGTATGCATGGGATACTAAGGGGACTTTCTCCTCAACCTACCCCGCCCCTGACCTGTAGCACTTCTCTGGCTCCAGCAGCATCTGCAAAGGCGATACCGCTGCAGTCTAGGACCACCACTCTGACGGGCTCAGCAACTAGGATGGGAGAAGACAGGGGTAGCCGGACGCCCCCGCGGGTCGCGCCCAAGTCTCCCTCCTTGTCACCCCGTCTCACCTGCATCAGGTGGGCTAGTCTTTGGAGCTCCCTGTGAGTAGAGAAGGGCAGTTACCATCTCCAAGACACAAGCATGAACGTGCGCCCCTTCAGAAGACGCACCCGCCGCCCTCGCCCAGAGAAGCCGCGCTCCCCTCTGACCAGGTCTCTCACCTTGCCTCCTTCTCCAAGCCCCAGGTGCCACTCCAGGCTACGGCGAAACTGCCCACGGGTCCCAAAGTAGAGCGGTGATGGATAGCTCAGGATGCAGAGCCCCGGGACCTTGAGGAGCTAAGAGGGCAGAGGGTCAGAAAAACACCCGGGTCTAGTCTTCCCTTCCCTCTTCATCTGCAGCCCACCCACCTTGTGGCTCTCTCTGAGTGGTCTGTAGAGCTCCGTCCCCTCGGCAAGTCCAAGTGCCAGGCACTGCACCCTGGGCAGGAAGCTGGGGTCAGATTCCCAGCCTGACCTGGCTGGAGAGTCACCCCAGGCACCTGTTCTCTCCCCGCCGCTCTTCCCAACTCCTCTCATCTCTCCTCCCACCTCTGGGTGCGGCAGACCACAGTCATCATGGAGAAGACCACACCAATGGCCAGGCCCAGGTCCACACTCAGGATCACTACGGCCACCCATGTGACCATCCATACAGCCTGCAGGACAGGGGCGGGAGTGAAATGCCAGGCGATCACTGCTAGGGAAAGAGGTCCACGGGCGGTGCCGGCCAAGGCAAACGATAGGGAGGGATGGCCCAGGAGAAGGTAGAAAGAATGACAGGAGGAGGGGACAGGACTGACCCAACAGGGGGTATACACCAAATGTAATGACCCCAGACCTTGCACCAGCTGGGGAGGTACAAATATTCAGGCCTGAAGGGGTTCAAACCCCACCCTCTACCTTGTGTCTGAGTAATGGGATTAGAAGGTATGCATGTTGAGGGGGGCAGAGTGGGGGGACTACAGAACTTAGGACCAGGACAATTAGCTGCAAACCAGGGCAGAAGCTGGGGATGCTGGGAAATGGGAGGGGGCAATCTGGGGTAATCCTGCCACTTCTCACAAAGTCCATGCGGCTGATGCGCCATAGTTGTGGAAGTTCCTGCATCTGGAAGAACATCTGGCGCATGCTGGAGATGTTGATGCAGGCCAGGACAGCCTTGGGGCAGAGGAGGCAAGCTGACCGCCCCAATGTCCTGGAATATAGCCAGCCCTCCCAGCCACCCCCATACCTCCTCTGTTCCTTACCTTGGGCAGATAATAGAAGAAGGGCCCCAGCCACAGCAGCACCGAGAGGACGACTATGCAGGAGAAGAGGCCTGCCAGCTAGAAAGAAGGAGGGATGGAAGCAGAGAAGCAAGGGGACCTCATCCACCCCTGTGTGACAGCTGGCCGCCCTGCCCACTCTGCCTCACCTTCCTTGGAAGTCTCCCTCCTCCCAAATCCCCTTCCATGAAGATATTCCTCAGTTTCCCACTCCCTTCTTGCTATTCTGCCTCTCACACCTACCTTTGCCCTCTCCCAATGAAATGCCTCTCATTCTCCAGTCTCTTACCTAGATGTAGTTCAACTTCCTTATTTTTGTAGCCCGTGTCCATCTTAAAAGCCACTGTTGGATTACCCTAAAAGCAGGCTCACCACATTCTTAGGGGACTGGCAGAGTAGGAAACCAGAAATATTAGGGGGAGACTTTCATGTGTGATATTTCTTTTCAAAAGAAAATGTCCCTGTTGTGGGGGTGGGGGGAAATCAGAAGTTTGTCTCTCAAATTTATTTTACAGTCCAGTTTTGTTTTTATTTTGAGCTACATGTGGGGCACCGTAAACTTTTTCAGTGCTTAGAGTCCACAAAGGTCTTAAAGGAGCTTTGTTATCTTCTATCTCTCCTATCAGAAACTCCCACCCCCTCACTCTGCCTCACAGACTCCTATCCTCCTCTATACGGCTGCCCTCTGGGTATCTACCAATCCTCCACCTGTTTCTCCACCACCACCCCAACCTGCATACGCACCCCCCTTTCTCTTCACCCAAGGACATGCTCTTACCTGTGTGTTCCCACCAGCATCCACGAGTAGGCTGGTGGTGGCCAGTGTGGCAGAGTTGGGAAAGCAGGAGAAGAGGGAGGAGATGAGGTTGGAGACACCATGGGCCAAGAGCTCCTGGAGGGACGCAGTGAGAGATGAAGAGGAGAGAGACAAGGGCATGGGGGGAAGGAGGAACATCAGATTAGGGGGGTGTCTCCTGAATGTATTGGGGTCCTCAGGCAGAGTCACACCTGGTTGGAGTCAATAGTGTAGCTATACTTGTCTGCATAGATGGAGGCCAGGGAGGCGGACACAGCAAAAGTGACCAGTGCCACGGGCAGCGAGTCGGCCAGAAGCCTGGGCAGCGCAGCCAGGTTGGGGAGGTGGAGTTGAGGGAATCTGGAGAGAGAGGGATCCAGGGTGAGGATGGGTTGGGTCTAAGAAGGATATGGGGAAGACAGAGGAAACAGGGTGGGGCGCATCAAGAGGAAGTGTTGGGTGGGAGAAGTGGGAGAAGAGCAGTCTGGTGTCTTGATTCCCTTACCCTCTAGGCAGCAGCCCCACTATCTGGACGTTGTATCTTGTGTCCAGGGAAGAGGTGAAGCAGAGCACAGAGGCCAGAAGCACCTGGGAAAGAGCAAATCAGGGCATGGCAGGAGATGGGCTTCCCGGCTGAGGCTAGAAAAAGCTTCACAGGAGAGAGGATCCTAAGGCAGCTGTTAGGGGTTTGCAGAGGCTCAGCCCCTGGGGGCGCTGGGATGTGTTTGGGATGGGTGCCTGACAGCCCCTTTAGAGTGGAGGGCGGTGGGGATGGGAAAGAGGAATGAGGCCTACCCAAGGTTATGGAAAGAGATGGACCGGAGGAAGGAATAGGGGCTCCCAGGAGGGATCGTGGATATCAGGAAGTATACCGAGCCATTCTAAGTAGGAGAGCTGGGCTATATCTAGGCATAGATGGCGTGTGGTTGGAGACGCGGAACACTTATTCAGTTGGGGAGAGAGAGAAATGTAGTGGGCGTGGGAAGGGAGAGAAACCGTGAACAGTGAAGGGCCGGGTGAGGGGAGAGATGTGAGTGGAGTGTGCTGTGGCGGGCGACACCGCAAGGGAGCGCTGTAAGCAGGAAGAAGACATTCTAAGAGGTCCCGAAGAGGCTTCGTGCGAGAAATGGGACCGTGTGCTTGGGGAATTCCGGAGGGTCAAAATGTTCTGGGAAGAGGCCTGGAAAGGGACACGGATGCGGAGGACTTCTCATCTGTAAGCTCGCTGCGTTCCACCAGGGGGCGGCAGCGGGCAGCTCCTACGGGATGGGCAGGGTCTGTGCGGTGCAGGGGGCCCCCGGACCCCGGAGCCATCCTCACCATGACGATTTCCCCTGGGATCGGGGTGGGTAGCTTGTCTCGGAATCTCACGTTCAATTCCTTGACCGGCACGAGCAGCGCCAGGCTGAGTGCCGAGATGGTCAGTTCGGCCGGACTGCTCCTGGGCAGCGCGGTCAGCACGGCGGCCAGTGTCTGCGGGCAGGGGCGGTGAGCGACGGCCCAGGGCCAGGCTCGACTGCCCCCGGCGCGGACCCACCCGGCCGAGGCAAGGCCTCCCGGCTCCCATCAGGGCTTCCACCTCCGCAGCGACCCTCATTCAGCCAGGTGGCTCTAACCTTCCCTCCGCCCCCGTCACCCTCTAGCCCTCCACGCGCCGTCCTTCCTTCCCTCCTTCCTTCCTTCCTTCCTTCCCAGGTTTCCCTCTTCCCAGGACCGCTAGAAGCCGCTTCTCCGCTCTTCTCCACCCCCACCTTGAAGAGAGCGAAGCAGCCAATCTGGCGCGGGAGGGGCAACCCTAAAAGGCTCGGCAGTTGGGACACGAGCACGTGCAGCGCGGCCCCGCTGGTCAGCGCTTTGACCACAGGCTCCGACAGAAAGGTGGACAGGACGCCGAGCTGCAGCGCGAACATGCCCAGCTGCGGGGGAGGAGATGCGCAGTCACTGCGGGAGCGGGAGCGGACCCGCCGGAGCGCACCCCTCCCGCCTACACCCACGCGGGACACTTGTCCCTCCCTCGCTCCTGGCCCAATTCCCCAGGGGCCTCCCTCACCATCAGCGCCCCGCTTCCGAAGGCCAAGGCTGCAGCCGCCCCAACCCGCTGAGCGTCCAACTGTTCCCTCTCGATTCCACTCAGGTTACCCCCGAGGGGTTCAGGCACCAGCCGCTCCACGGCCGAGCCCGTCATGAGGCTGAGAACCGCGAAAGTTCCTAGGGCCGGGGGACAAACGCGGAGATCACCAGCTGTGCCGCCTGGGGCGCGGTGACCGCCCAGGCTCGGCGCCCTCTGCCGGGCTGCGGTCGTCAGACCCCGCTTTCCCAGACGGCCGCTGCTCAGGTGAAGGCAGTGGGGCGGAGAGCTAGTGCAGCAGCCGGGAACCCGCGGCGAGGGAGGAGAGGAGGGAGCGGCCGCCTGCAAATACTGCCCCCTAGCGGCCTCGCGGCCTCCTCCTGCAGGCGCCCCGCGGACCGCGCGCTCCCCTGGGGGACCGCCCGCTCCTCTAGGGGACCGCGCGCTCTTCTGGGGGACCGCGCAGCTCTTTACCCCTCTTCCAAGTCCCGGAGATGTTCATGTAAACCAAATTTCATGGGGGAAGTAAAGTCCGAGGACACTCCCTTCTCTTTGCACCCACTCAGCACCCCCTCCCCCTCCAACCAGCAAGCCTTGCCTAGGTCCGAGGTTCCTGGCAGGGTAACTGCAGAGGCGGAAGGGAAGCAGGGGAGTGGAAGAGGGGAATAAGAGCTAAGGAGCTCGCAAGAACCGAAGCCTCAAACCCCTGTCCATTTTCACCCCACAGAGAAGGAGAGGAGTCACCGGGTCACTCACCGGTGGACAGGTGTCTCCCAGTACCCAACAAGGTGTAAATGAGGACGGGGAAGAAAGAAGTGTAGAGTCCGAACACTGGAGGCACGGAGGTCAGGAGGGCAAAAGCCATGCCTGGGGGAGAAGTGGAAGGAAAGATCTTCGGGATGTGTGTTGTGGGGGGGGGGGGTGGCTGGGGGCAGGTGACCAGCCTCCAGAACGCCCCCCTCTCTACCCACAGTCTTAGAGGTTGGCATGGAGACGCTAAATCATGCCACATGAGGGAACCAAGAGGTTAACAGGCCTCGGTGGGAGGTCCTGGGGCAGACAAGGTCACAGATCCGTGTCGGCCCAGACAGGGGGGTGGGAGTGGGGGGCGGGGGGGAAGCAGGTGTTGTGCCTCTCTCCAGTTCCCTGACCCGGAACGTGTCCAAGACTTCTCGAAGGATTGCGCAAATGAAGGGAGCTGGGGGTAGGGTATCTGATGCGGCTCGGTAGTCCTTACCCAGAACTTGGTCTCAGATCCTGTCTCCGAACCCTCAGCCACACCACCCATCCTCTCGCTCCCGGGTTCCCAGCTCCTGCGCCTTCCCGACGCCCTCCAGAGCTCCGGCCCCAGACAGGCTAGTGTTGGGGCCGCTCACCCTGGGGCACGTGCACGATGCCCACGGTCACTCCGGCCACGGCATCCCCGAGCAGCCAGGCCCGCCAGCGGTAGTGGGGCAGCCAACGCAGCGGGGGCAGCCGCGCCAGCAGCAGGCGCCACGCCCCCGGTCCGGAGCCAGCGCGGGCCCGCCGCCTCCACCGTCTGCACAGACGCGACAAGCGGGGCTCGGCGAGTAGCTCCGGCTCCTGCTCTGCGTCCCCGAAGAGCTGCTGGAACCGAGCCTCGGTGAGCGGTTCCCTGAACTTGGCGCCCAGGGGGATCTTCAGGTCGGAGGCCTCTCCCAGGCATGGGCAGGTCCTGGCGCCCGGTAGCCCAGTCATTTTGCCCTTGGCCACCTCCAACCCCGCCTAGTCTTAAATACCCCTCCACCCGCTAGCCCTGAGTCCCGCCTCCGTGAAGCAGGGCCCAATCCGGCCCCGGAGGGCGCCCTCTCATGGGGGACCTTCAAGGGCCCGGAGATGGCAAAGGCTTGGGGAGAGGGCGTCTCTAGGTTAGGTGTTTCCTGAGACATCCTTGGCGGGACCGCTCGCTCTGGAGCCTGCTGGGGTGGGGCGAGGGCGGGGGAAGGGGGACGGTGTGTGGAGAGGTGTAGGGACAAGAGATACAGCGCACTCTCAACACCCAACACCCACTTTTTACCACTCCTAAGCCTTTTGACTCTGGCCTCCTGGCTGTGGGCTCTTTCCCCGTTGGCCCTTTGGGAGGAGATAGCTGGCTCTTCCAGAGTGACCCATCATTTCCAGAGCCTCTGCGTTCTCCCCAAGAAGATTCAGTGTGCCCCCCAACACACACATGCCTTCTCCCCCAGACCCAAATCCTCATGGGGTATACAGCTTGTCCCAAGAGATGCAAGAGGCTCTGTTGGCAGAGCAGTCTCACAGCCTGCCAAGATGCGGCTCAGCTACAGTATGGGACAGGGATGACAGAGAACCACCACCCACACCTCTACTGGGAGCTGGGCCTCAATTCCCAGTTCAGGGCTTCAGAGGAAATACTGAACTGATCGCAAATTTTGATTTTTACTTCTTAGAAACCAAAAAACTTGAAGTGCCATTTATTACATTCAAGTGCTATTTACAAAGTTGGCACTCCAAAACACATCTGTGGTTAAATTAAGTTCAAATGGGTCATGCACCCACCTCATGTACCTCTGTGGTCCCTCAAGAGATACAAAGGTTCTGGGATCCAGAATCCTGCTATTTTCCCCACCCCCTCCTCCATTTACAAGAATACTTGGCATTTCTCCCCATCACCCTCTGGTCCCCAGTCCCTGACCCCAAAGCCCTGGGGGTGGGGTACAGTGAGGGTGGGTCTCCCCTCTTCAATTCCTCCTATTGTTCCCCAGAAGTCTTATCTGGGCTGTACGTCCTGTCCCCCCCTTAAAGGTCCCTCCCCCCATTGTCGGCCAGAGGGACCTCAGGCCCACAGGGAGGCTCCAGCTCCTCCTAACCATCCCACCCCAGCAGCCTATTGTCTGCTGAGGAAGCCCAAGTACACGTGACCAAGCCCAGGGGACGAATGGACACAGTGGACACACAGATGCCCAAGGACCCAGGACAGGGCATCTGGATATGGATCTCTGCATGTTTGGCTTTCTCCATCCCAGGGGCTATCCCAGAAGTTGGGAGGGCTGTCCACTCTTGGGTCTGTGGCTTGAAGAAGAATCCTTTCCTGCTCACTACGGATATGCCTTGTGACCTCGCAGACGGCAAAAAGGAGAACCCAGAGCCAAAAAGAGACACAGGCCCCAGCATCCTCTCCACCTCCCCATTCTCCCTCAGCTGAGCATGGAGGCCTCAGAAGGAAAGGTACTTGGGCATTTAGTGCTTTAGAATCTGGGTGCTGGGGAGATGGTGGGAAGTCACACTACACTGGGCTTTCCAGTGGGGTCTAGAATGGAGGCCAGATGGAAGAGAAAGCAGGCTGGGAAAGGGGAGGATATATCACGGATCTAGGGTTTTCCAAGTTCCAGGCCTGGACTGCGAGATGCCGCAACTGCAGGTGAGGGACACAGGCAGCAACACCGTGTGTCTTCTTATCACCAGACCGTCCGCAGGCCAGTGGATTTCTCCCCATCGTCTCACCCCACTTCCCCTTCCCTCTGCCAATACAGCAGCCTTAGTGATATCACAAAACCTTTAATCTCAGAAAACTGAAAGAAAAAATCAAAGTCAAAACCAATCATTTCTATGTGGCCCCTGCCCCAGCCCTCCCACCCACCCCCATATCCTCCTTTTGGGGGGACCTGTGATGCATGCGTAGGGGTGGGCGCTGAAGGAACCTGTGTTCCTTAAGCAGAAAGAAGTCCTTCTGAGTCTAGGAATCCTCCTCCAAGTCAACACCACTCCCAGCCTTGCCCCCCCCTCCCCCGCCAGACACATCAAGAAGGAATTCCAAGGTGATGTCAGAAGGATTGCCCTGAAGTTCCTCAGAAAATGGGGTGGCTGGGTCAGCACCACCCCAGGCCTTCACCACTTAGAGCTCATCTTCATCCAGCTTGGCAAGTCTGGCTTGGCAGGGAGGGGTGTTTGGAATTGGTGGAGCTGGAGGAGAGTCACAAGGAGCTCGGGGGATGTCACTGAGGGCCTGAAGAAAGACTCAAGTTAGAGGAGAAAAAAAAAGTCCCGGAATCCACCCTCACCCCTTTCTTTTCAGTGTATGCCCCTAGCTAAGCCACCTCCTCTTGCTAGACATCTTAGATCATCTAAGATCGTCAGCTTCTCCCAGGGTTAAACTGGAAGGGGTAAGGTAAGAGTAGGGAAGTAGGAAGGGGCAGACAAAAGGCAGGTGGTAGAAAAAGGGAATGATATGGGGGAGGAGGATTTAGGGATCCCAGAATAGGAGAGGCCCTCCCCATTCTTGCCCCCATAACAGGGGAACTCCTTTCCTCATACCTGTGTGTCCACGGGCAGGGGGTCTCTGGCCACCTCCCCTTTGGGCAACAGCAGCAGGGAGGGGAGAGAGCCATTGATGGGTGCATATGTGCTGACCTGGGCCCGGTCTCCAGGCCGAATTCTCCCAGGACTCCCCACCCCAAGCCCTCCTGGCCGCCCCAGGCTGTTGGTCTGGCTCTCTCGTCTCTGATACTCAATGGGTGACTGCAATGCTGGGGCAAAGAGAGGAACAGAAGGAGGGTTACAACAGGTTCTTTCCCTAAGGGCTCTGCCCAGATCATCTTCCCACTTTGCCCTCCTCCCACGAACTGTCAGCCATTGTAAATTGCTGGGGAGATGGGGAGAAGCTGGGGTCAAGAGGGCAGGGATTGGAGATTGGGCAGTGAGGGATTCAGGAGGTCAAAGGGCTTAAAGAGCATGTCAGGGAGGGAAGGGTGAGAGCTTCACCATTGAGAAAGTCCCGCTGGCTTTCCAGGATCTGAGCCACTTGCTTGATCCAGGCCTGACTCACTGCAGGGTCTGCAGTCTGCAGGACATAGCGCTGGATCCCACCCTCTGGCCCTCTGGAGGTCAGTGCAAAGCGGCAAGGGTCACCTTGGAGGTTCCCCTCCAGTCCCAGGCAGCTCACCTGGATTGGCAAATAGGAGAGAGCCCCCAGATTCTTGAGGCCCTCTCTGGTTCCTGTCCCCTCCAACAAATGCAAGAGCCAGACATTCTCTCAGAGGCCTCGCCCCATCCCAGCCAGACCCCTCCCTTGCGGCCTCCTCCCCACCTTGATGCTGCTCCTGTATACATATCCAGCCTGTGACCCTCCTCGGACTCCTCCTCCCAGGGCCTCACTGAAGATGACAATTTGCTCGAAGAGGAAGACACGTCTCTCTCGACCCCGGGAGGACAGCAGCCCCCCAGCCTCGGGCTCTGTGACCCAGAATGTGTCCTGGCCCAAGAGCTTGCCCTGAGCAGTGAGTTTGCCCTAGAACCAAAGGGTAGTGATTTTGAGAAAAAAAGCAAGGAGAGAAAAGGGACATTCTCTGCTCCTCCCTCCTTCCCCTGATGCTCCCAACCAACCATGGGGTCAGTCCCAGGGGAGGGACAGTTCCCCACGAGGACCTCCCGAGTGCTCAGACTGGGGCCAAAGAGCATTGGGCCTCCAATTTCCTGTTCTAGCCCCATACCTCAAACCCCCGAAGTCTCCCCAGGGTCATCATGTCATTGCAGCACTTGGGTACAAAGCACATGACCTCCACAGCATGCTGGGTCGCAGGTGAAGAGAGGAGCATTGTCATTGTCGAGAAAGAGCCTCTTCAGACCATGTTTCAACTTTCAACCAACCTCCGCGTAAAAACCAGACAGCTCAACACCACCCAAGGAGCAGGGGGCGGGGGAGGGGGGAACCCAGGAGACCAAAAAAATAAGAGGTATGTGGTGTGTGTCCTAGCAGATTTGGGAGTCCTCACCTCCAGCTCTTCAGTATCCATCCCAGCTCTACTATAATATTTGAGAAAATCCTAAGATGTAGAAAAGAAATGCTCAGGGAGGTCTTGAGGACACCCTCAGAAACTCTCACATCCTCCCCCTGAGGACACAGGTGAGGATGCCCAGGAAGTCTGGGGGGAGCCTTAGGAACCCTGGGGAGATGAACGAGAAAAGGGCTGTCCCAGCCAGCGGAACCCCCAGGGAACAGGTGCTCCTGACCTTGAGCAGCAGCTGGTATTTCATGATCCTCTGCACTGGTTTGATGAGGAGGTCGTTGAGCTGTAGGCGGTGCCCTAGCTGCTGCCGGAGCTCCTGGGGACAGGAATGTGGTTATGCAGCCTGGAGAGCCTGATGATTCTGTCCCCTTTCCCCCAAGGTCCCTCAGCCACTGACCTCAAAGTAGCTGTCCCCAAATTCTGACACCACGTGCTCTGACTTGGGCTTGTTCTGACAGTACACCACGTACATATGCAGCCGGCGCTCCTAACAGGGGTCAAGGTGAAGGAGTGCAGGACGGGTGAGGAGAGAGAACACCTCTCTCGGGAGCCCGGACCCACTCCGAAGCCCCGCCCCTCCAGGACCACCCTCTTAAGCCTCACGTGTTTGATGAATAGCTGAGCCAGCCAATCAGGATCCTTCAAACACCGCCGTAGCTCCTGCAGGAAATAGCTGGAGGGGTTGGCAGGGAAAAGGCTGGTCAAATACCCCCACCCCACGCAACTGAGAGCTGTCTACCCTGGTTGTGATCAAGCCGCTCCAAACGTTCCTCAGGCAACAATGGCCCCTGGCTAGGTTACAGAGAAAACGAGACATACGCCCTTCCCCCTCACTCTCGGGGATCCACCACTCACTCTCGATGCCACTCATAGATTTGCTGGATGTTCCCAAACACAATCCTGTCACGGCCTCGAAGACTCTCCGGGACCCCCTGAGCAGCCATGGTGGCCATGTAACCCTGCAGGAAGGTTGGGGCGGGAGCATGAGTG